CTGACCGTTAGAGTCCTACGTCCTGCCTGCTTAACTAAGCCATAGCTCCGAAAGCCATTTGTCAATAAAAAGAAAATGAGTTAGCCTGGCGTTTTGTTCTGCTGATTTTGCACTCTAAGTCCAGGGTCCCCTGATGCTCTGATAAAAGAAAACGCAGAGTAAAAAGAGAAAATATAGTTCAATACAATCCGCACGTCTCCATTCTCTGTGGGTGCCCAGCTAGCGCTGGGAGGTGGTTATAATCCACCGGAACAGCAGGTCTGAGGGCCCCTCATCCGCTAACTGTTACCAGTGGGAAGCAATCAAAGGAGGTTAATTAACCTTTACAACCAAACAGGAAGCCCGGACCCTTAGGCCTGACCTCTTCCCTTCCCATTCAAAACATTTATATTGGAAACACTGTGACTCTTAATCCAAACTAATTTTCTCATCAGTTGTGATGAATTAACCAAATAATCATTCCTTTTGTATGCAGAGTAGTAAGTAACCTACAAAGCCAGAGGGAAGTAGCCATTCCCAAGGCAGTAAAAATTCTGTTCTTTTCAGAGAAGGAGGGCTGAAACAAACAAAACTCTTGAAGCAGCTCTACAAGTATAAACATTATTCCCAATAAAATAAACTGAACTTTGAAAGCAGCACTTGTTATGCAAATTAACTGTACTGAAATCATATTTAATAAAATACAAACTATTATTATGTCATGAGAGCAGCTCCGGGCGGACGGCCTGTGCAGTGAGGCACGTTCAGCAGCCACAGCTCTGGATCACGTTGTACCCGTTTCAAGTTCACTGTCTAATCTTGCCCAGAGGGGCCTCATTCCACCGCCACTCAGAAACACCTCCCTGTGCAGGTCGCCGGCAGGATCGGTGCTCCAGCCCTCACCGGATGAGGTGCCTCGCTGCAGTGTCAGACTGCAGGGTTAGCACCTCCCTTCAGGCAGGGGCGCCTGGGTGGTGGGGTCTTGGGGGTTCTGCAGGCTGTCAGTCATTTTCTGCAGCTCTTGAAGCTCAGACCCGAGAAGACGGACATTTTAATCAGACAGTGTGAAACACTGGTTGCTAGAGCTAACCCGGTGAGCCATCCCTTCACCTCCAAAGCTAACTCTTTACCTAAACGGACTTCTCTTTCTGGGTTTGTGAGTGTGCTAATTATATGTTTTGCAAGACCCCCAAAACCTTATGCTCTAGAATCCAAGGTCTGATTTATCTTTCCTTCCTTCCTTCCTCCTTCAGGAAGATAAAAACTTGCTTTGCTTTTCAGCAGAATAAGAACACACTGATAAAAGAAATTCTTCAGATTTACAGGGCTACAGGCCCTAGTCCCTAAGTAGATTGAGAAGGAGAAATTACAAGGAATGGCAAAGTATAGGTCTCAGTAGATCTATTAAGGGCTTGAAATGATTGTAATCATAAACCAGCAATCATTTCTCGTAGCCATGCCATCCCAACCAGCCCTCTCACTGGCCCAGCCTATCCCTGGCACCCTGGATTAAAGAGTCAGCACCATCCGAGGCAAGCCAAAAATATGTCTGCCTCTATGTATACATGTACACACACACACACACACATCCTTCTAGGAGCTTCTCGTCATTTTAGTAGGCATGGGAGATCCTAAATGGGCTTATTTCTTGGACCCTTACTATACAAATAGGCGGGGTATAAATAGACGCATGTTTTGGCCAAAAGTTTAAGTCAGGAGACGTCTGGGGCACTCAGTGCTGACTCAGCCTGGGTCTAGGCGGCCGTACCAGCATCTCCCTCGCTGGTCTGGGAAGGAGCCGGTCAGACGCAGGAGCGCAGCAGGCGATGAGCCCTGGGGGAGCACTAGCAGGGTGGGTGGGCCCCGGCTTCCAGCGCTGCAGGAATGTCAGCCCATGGGGAGGCTCACGCGCTCCCTGTGAGGGCTGCGATGACTTTATTCTCAGGAAGGCGTCCCCGCCGCGGGTCGTGAAGGCCTGTGGGAATCCGTCATAATGCCTGTAGGCAGCCGGAGGCAGAGGCGAGATGGGCCGTCCGTGAGGCATGTCTGGACTTCCTCTGTCCCTACACCTTGTCCAGAAGGGAGCAGCCTTCACCCTGTGTGGACCAGTCCTGGGTCTCTTTCCACATTTCCAGCATGGAAGGCAGAGGACTTGAAGGAGTGGGGAAGCCGTCCATGAAAGCCTCATCAGGAACCAGAACTGAGAAACGTCGCTAATCCTTGAGATGTGTGCTCTTGACTTGGGGAAGCAATGAGCAGCCCAGCTTTCATACCTGTTTAATGTTTTACACACAATAGAAATTTTTTTGGGGGTATCTTTCAAGCCCCAAAACAATTGGGTCCAATTCTCAAACTTTTTAGGATTCCTCTATAAATCTGATGGTCATATTGAGCCTAAAAGAAACTTCCACCGAAAGAGTGAACTGTTCAGGAATGTTAGTGGAGGGTGGGGGGAGGGGCAGTCCGCGAGCCCTGTGTGTTCAAGCGTGTTTCAGCCGTGTTTGGTCTACAAGCAAGACACTGCCAGGCTGAGCAGCAACCGGGCGAAAGGTGTATAATTCTCCGGAATGAAAAGGACAGAAGAATATGAAGTTGCACAAGCCGTGGGGCTGACGCTCAGACAAACGCAGATTCAAGTGTCTGGGAGGGAAGGGAGCAAAGATACACACACACATGTCACGTGTTAGAGCTGCTGGACCACAGGCGGTTTTCTCTTTTCATTATTTCCATTATGGCTTATACGGTGCCCTGTGCACTTTCCCACGATCACTTCCTAGCGGAACTGTTCTGTGCTGATGGTGGCGTGGAGCTGGGGCCCCCCTTCCTTAGTTCTTTACCCATTTGCCAACCTCCTCAGCTTCGCCCTCTCCGTGGGTCTGTGCTGCCCGCTGCTCTGCCGAGGGGCGGGCGCAGGCCCGGGACATCAGGACACCAGTGAGCCTTCGGCCGCCTCTCCCCAGGAGGGTTCCCCCGGGACATCAGATGGAGCCCGGAATCCCAGCGGCCCCGTCTCCACCCCAGCGCTCAGGGCCAGGACGGTTCGTTCCTACTTTGTTCCCGAAACCTTCAGTTTAGTGCGTCCTATGCGGGCTTGAATGGGCCTCCGGTTCTTTACGAGGAAGCCGCAGTGTGGCCTCCCGCCCTGGTTACACCCTCTGCGGCAGGCCGAGTCCGGTGGGAGCCCCCGGCTGTCACGGAGGGAGGGGTCGGCAGGGCCCGCCAGGCGGGGGCAGGTGCCTGGGAGCCGCCCCTCAGCCAGGTGGGCGGTGGAAGCTCGAGTCTGGACGGTCCCTGTATAACGTACTTTACAGCATTTAAGCCACAAAAATCATTTTATCTAATTCCAAACAGCTCTGAGATGGCCGAAAGGCGGGTGAGTGGTCTCCGCAGACCCGTCTCGTCTCCTCACCGTGGTTCTCCTGGCCCCTCCGGGAAGCGGCCCGGGAACTCAGCGACCCAGTCTTTTAAAAAGATGATTATCTCAGCGTGGGATTGTTTTTAGTTCAGTTCGCTCTTTATCTATTTTCAACAAAGCAGAGCGCGCAGAACTCTGCGTATTACCCCCGGGGCACGAGTGTTTCTGCTGGCAGCACGATGCGTGTCTCGGACTGCACACCTCAGGCCTGCGCCCCACGCGCTTCAGTGGTTCCGGGCTGTAAGGACACAGAGAGTAAGAAACCAGCTTCCTTCGTCCTGCATTCTAGGCCTGCAGCACTGCGGCCTCATTCCCGGGGGTCCTTGGTGCGTGCCGGCGACTTCGGGGTCCTCTGGGCACATCGCGGGGGTCCAGTGTGGTCTTCTCCAGCGTGTCCTGCCTTCTGTTTTCTGCATTGATTTAAGTGGGGGGGCAGGTCGCCCCAGCTCTGCTTCCCTGTGGGCCCTCCCGGCGCTGCAGGACCCATGGATCTGACTGTCGTCACCGAGCACCCGTCTCCTGTCGCAGGGGCAGGCCTGGGGTTTCTCCTGGCCCATCCTTTCTCCTGTCCCTTCCCCGAGTCCCAGCGCCCGCATCCTCCCAACATCCCGCATCACCCCTAGGCGTGTCGTGGCTTATTTTCCAAGCAAACCCCTTTCACAACAGTCCTGAATTGTAAACGGAAGGGATCTAGGAGGGCTTTGGAACTTCTCTGATCTCTGCATGCTTGTACTGAAGACCTGCTAGCGGTTTGAACGCTCAGTAGCCTGCAGGAATTCTGTGCTTCCTCCTGAGGCGGGGAGACCCTGCCCCTGGCTCGTGCTGCGCCCCCTCGGATGCAGGCCCCGCTTCCTCCCAGATCACCGCTCATTCCGCCCCATGACGTCAAGCTGAGCTTACAGTTTCCTTCAGTGTCCATTAGCACGATGCAAATCTACCCTCTAACAAGTCAGGGTCTCCCACAAACGCATTTCCTGTATGAACTGGCCAGAGACGAATAGATTCAGATTATATTTGTTTTAAGACCACTAGACGCAAGCGGGCATATTCCCTCATTTTACTGGCTGTTCTCATCCTCCAAAATGCTTGGCTACTGTATTATAATGTATCGCTACTAATTAATATTTACATGAAAATTTGGATGGGAGTCAAATTATTAAAATACCAAAACTGGTGTCCCTGCTTCTGATAAACCACCTTCCTATGCATCTCAGTGTCCTAAATCACTCCTGCATTTACCTTAGAACCTAGCGCTGAGTTGTCTATGGATTAACAATAGGTAGACAATACCAAAGACTCATTCTTGTTCCAGGTTTCCCTGACGAGTTTGAGGATTGATAAGGAACACTGGGAGCCGGAGTCGGTGTCCATTCATGACCAGGGAGAAACAGAACTCATGGAAGCATGAAGCCCGACAGGACTGTGATACAGCAGGCGAAAATGCGAGGAGCTGAGAGAAGATTTCAGTTATTAGATGTCCCTAGAAATAAAACAAGAGATGTTCTCTGAAATTGATATGTTTACTGTGAGACATAAAAAATCAGCCAGTTTCCATTCTGGCACACATAAAATATACAAACCTTTTCTGGCAGAGTTTTGAACATGACCAACGCTTCAGAGGGACAGGGTGTGAACCATAAATTGAGGAAGACTTTCCCGTCGGCAGACAGCAAGCGGCGTGGCCGGGCTGAGAACTCCTGCGGATCATGAGAGGGTTCATGTAGCGCAGTGTTTCTCTCCAAAGGGGTAGTGGAAGGTCTACACCACCACCCTCCTGCCACAGTGCCAGGGCCCAGGTGGGGTGCAAAGCCCGGAGCCCGGCACCAGGGCACTGGGCCCCCTTTGCAGCTGCTCACAGGTGGCCACAGTCACAAACAGCCCTACGGCAGGGGCGCAGCTGACAGATTTCGGCCTGAGCTGTGCTGGAGGAAGGTGTGGACACAGAGGGAGGGAGGGGTACAGTGGGAGAGGGAGGGAGGGCAGGGAGGGGTTAGGGGCCGCCTGACCAGAGCTGCTGGCAGGGCAGCAGGCCCAGGCCTCCCTCGTCTACGGGCTGACCTGGGCATCAGCAGGATGGCCCGCTTGGGGAGTGTGTGATAGAAAGATGCCTGCTGGACAGCCGCCATCAAAGCATTTTTCTGAGCAGCTTGGCAGGCAAGGGTCACTTGCATATTCTCCACTCCTGAATGGACCAAGAGCTGAAGGAAGAACATGTAAAACATATTAGGAATTTCTCTCATAAAGAGGTGAAGTTGAGGGTTTGAAGTCACCACTTATTCACCATGTAAATACTTGAGTCCGGCGGCAGGGTGAGCTGAGATGCCTGCTCCTCTGCCACAGGGCCTGGCGTGGCCTGTCCCCACGCAGCACGACCCGGCGAAGGCAGCCTGCAGGCTGGTTTGCTCTGGAGCCGGGCACCCTCAGCTTCCCCCGGTGTCAGAAAAGGATCAGCATTTAAAGAACACAGGCAGCAGGCAGGCAGGCCCACGAGCCCACCCAGGGGACGATGCTTTCTAATACCTCACAGAGGTTATTGCAAAGGGCGTTGCAGTCTCCGTGGCCAAACCAGGCCGACGTGCACATCATGATATTTGAAGCCGGAAGCTTTTCTTACATATACAGGAGTTGAACTTACAGGAATTAAACGGTGTGCTGTTTTAAAGGAATACGTGAGCAAATTGCTTAAGTTTACTTGAGTTTCTTTTTAAAAAAAACAAGTAATATAATTTATCTTAAGGATGGCTTCCTTTGTGTAAAAGCTGAATCTGCCAACCTGGTTATCATCCGCCTGGGAGATGGCAAAGACGAGCGCGGGAGGAGAATATCTGCAAGAAGACACGCGACGCTGTTCTGGCGCCGAGGCCATCAGGAGGCTCTGATCTGCGGGGACTGGGGCGCGCTCAGCTCCGGCCGTCAGCAGTGACCGCTCTCGCGGGCTATACACGACTTGGCATCTCGGCCCGGAGACTGGAGGGCACTGGTCCTTACTGAACGCAGTTTCAATGTGGGGCCAGCATTCCACAGTTTCCTCGTTTTCCCTCCTCCCTTCTTGACCTCATGTACTCGGGCCCCTCTCTGACGAGGACCCCTCATCTGCTCCCCAAGAACCATCAGTACTGTCTCTCCCGTGGCCCCAGTGATCACCGAGATGCTCTTTGCAACACGTTCCTGCTTTGGGACACATTCCTTTGGCCATAACTATGAGACGCCATTAAGCAATTCAGTATCTATGAATTTCGGCCTCTTCATTTGTAAGTGGAGATATTACCTGTCTCACGGGGTTATGGCGAATATTAGGTGGGATAATATGCGTGGATGTGCTTTTAAAGCTGTGAGTGACTGTGCTCATTTTGGTGTATGCGGTTGTAATGGCTGCAGAGCGCCGACTTCAAGGATTAACACACCCCAAATAAGTGCACACTCGAGACACAAGTTCCTCGGTGCATAAATGTCCTCGGATCTCACAGCCTCTCTGGGTCATCACTGGGAGGACCTCCTGTCATCTGTCCACACGGCTGGGCCAGGCCACTGAGCGTGTGGGCAGTTTGCACTGATAGGCTGACTCCTGCTGAACAAAAATACGCCTGATTTCACTGCAGCCTAAAATGCGAGCGCCAGCACGAGGTGCTTGGAAAGCCAGAGAGCGCTGGGCTCCAGGTGGAGAGCGGGCCTCACCTGGCACGCCACCCACTTCCTGCCCTCCGCATCCAAGATACCTGTGTCCGTGACGAGCAACCCTTTTGGCTTAGCTAGTGTGACGGAGCAGAGCAGGCGAGATGCTTCCTCTAGCGGACACGTGACAATGTCTGGTGGTCACAGCCTGGAAGGCGCGGCGGTGTGACTGGCATCTGGTAGGTGATGGTCAGGGTCACTGCTAAACAGCCCTTGGTGCCCAGCACGGCAGCCTGGGCACATTCAGCCCCAAATTTCAGTAGTGTCTGGGATGAGAAACGCTGGGGTGCTGGTGTTCCTGCATCCTGACCTCCTGCCTTCCAGCCTGTGCTCTCTGGGGACCGTCTGTGCTCTGCTGGGCAAGAGGAAGCCCCTTCACCTATGAACAGGCAGTAATACTCGGAGCGCTGACCCACAGCAGCAAAACAAAGGGGACTTTCCCTTCTTGGAGTTGTCTTTGCCTTCCCTGGTGGGGGACCCCCCCCCAACCTGCTCGGCAGGGGCTAGCTTCTCTGGAAGGCAGACGAGGAGAGAAGAAAGGGGAGGCACAGGTTTCTCCTCGGCACACACCAAGGCTGAGACCGCGTGAGGGAAGATTGCATTTCCGGCCGAACAGGTTCCTGAGCTGCTGCTAGGATGAGGGTTTTCTTCCTGGCAATGGGCGGAACCTATGGGGCATGGAAAAGGGGTTTCACAGGATTGAGTCCGCGCGGTCTGGTTCGGGCCATGAGCTGCCCTGAGATACCACCGTCAAATGTTAGAGCTGCTCATTGTGTTAGAATTTTGAGGAAACGGCTGCTCAAAACCCTTGACTGACATCCTGGTCCCAGGAAAGTGAGAGAAAGGGGTCTGCACATCTAAACTACGGTTCTTGCCCCACGAGACCAACGCCCACCCCTCTTTCTACCCAGAAGCTACCCATTCAACCAGGGTGGTGCTGAGCCTGGGAGTCCATCTCATTTGAGCTCTGATCTGATTCTTCAACTTCTCAGTTACTTGGTGTTTTTAAATCCAATTATCCCCCTTGATTGAGATCTTATGGTTTTCCTTTCCTTCTTAAAAAGGAAATAACATCAAGGTAGACAGGAATATAAGGGAGTGAATGCGCCTGTGGGTCCAGCAGGGGCAGGGATTCTCTTTCACGGTGGTTCCTTGTACCGTCACATCACATCTGCTCTGCCCTCTCGAGGCCCACCTGTCCACGCAGTCATTGTCCCCCAGCAGAGGTGACAGAGGCAGCCGGCTGC